AACGTATCTCCACTTATCAAAGCAGGGAGGAAGAGAAACAAAAGGCTTTTTAGCCGAAGGCACAGAAATATCTCCTATTCGAGGCAAGAGCTTAATTTAGAGTACAGTGAGTGGCAGAGCAGGGCTTAGGCCATACACGCTTCTAACCTCAGTGCGCGGTGCCCTTGCCATAGGATTGCAACAGCTAAAGCAGCCCGCGAATCCAAACATGACCCACAGCGTGGTGAAAAACGACGCTCAGCCCAAAAGGCAACGGCCTAGAGCGTGGGAGAACGCTTCCTTTCAACGGTTGGCGTGGGAGTCCCTAGTCAGGCACGGGCACCAGAACCAGACCCTCTACTGCAGCGTTAGAAGGTGCTACAACCAGCTAGCGCTGGTGGGCTACAGTAAGTTAGCCCAGTGCGAGGCATCTCCATGTAAGGCACCAGGCAGTGTGGGGACAGGTCATTCCCTGGAAAGGCACCTTTCTAATGATACCGCTTCATGTAGAGTAAGGGCTTGTAATATAACCCTGATAATCTAAGTAAAAGTCACGCTCCCGTAATTCAGGTAGAGAGGACCGTGAGTACAGGGCTGACCTGGTCCTTCTAATGTCACCAGTGACATCTTCCCCACCTTCGGACCTACAGGCAACATATATTTGTGGATACATACACTTACATATAAGTGTAACAAGTCTGTTAATGCTCCACATTAACAGGGCAAGTTTAAATCTAAACACTCTTGTTATTTTAGATGAGTAATTTTCTTTGTGTTGGAATTATCTTGCAAAACCAAAGCAAACGTGTATTCTGCACTCTCCCTACGCTGCTTAGGTTAATTTTTTCCTCTGTGGTTTCCTACATGCTGCATCTAAGTCTGCTTCAGCTGATAAATAAGTTTTGTTAGCAAATGCAATAGCGGAGGGACAGCTTGTCAGGATACAGTTTAGCTCTTAGACAGTTGGTTACAGCATTCAGTTCAAGTCAGGTTTTACTAGCCAAATTAGTGTTTAAGAAAAAAGTGTGCCAAGCATAAAAGCATATCGTAAGGGCCAACTTGAATTGTCATCATCTAATCAGAGCATTAACTAACCTAAGTCAATACTCAGAGCAATAGTCTAAGCTATCTGGAGAGAGAGAGAAATCCTTATGATCTACTGTTTCCCATCACCCAGGCAGTTCACCAGGAATCCTTTAATCCTCCCCACCACAGAGCTTGAGCAGAACTTTCCTGTAATCTCCTGAGGTGTCTCCCTGGAGAGAAGAACAGAACAAAAGAACATGTGATTAGTTTTACAGCTAACGCTATAAAAAGGCTGGATCATTTCCAGCACAAACAATTTGTTGTAGGGTTTGAATCCTTTTTGGCAGTTTAAGGATTAAGAATATTCAGGAATGTTTTCAGTACATAAATGTCTACTTAGTTTCAGCTCCTCTAACTGAAAGACACATCAGATGCCCAAGTGGGGATCTCTCTCCTTTAAGCTCGTTAGCAAATTCAGCTCTGTTTCTAACACACTGAAAATCTTACCTTAATGAAGGAGTAGAGAGATTTCCCATACATGGTCAGGAATTCCCTTCTGATATCCAACATATCTATTTCCGAGCGGGACACCATCACTCGGATCAGCGTGTTGTCATCTGTTCCCAAGCCCTACAGAAGTAAACCAACCATGTACCTCAATGACACATTTCGGATAAATCATTGCTGCAGACAGCTATTTTATTGCTGGGTCTTGCAAGGGATCTGCTCCCAATTAGAGCAGTCTCACATTAACAGAGTGATCCACTAGCATCTTCCTGCT